GATCAAGTTGGTTCTCATCCTCAGCTTTATAGTTTTTAAAGAAAGTCAAAGCCTCATCTTTTGATTTCAGAAGATACACATAACAATATCTAGTGGAGTCATCAATCAACGTCATGAAGTATCTCTTTCCACCTTTTGTCAACACGCCATTCATCTCACAAAGATCAGAATGTATAAGCTCTAGTGGCGCCAAGTCTCTTGCCTCTGCAGTCTTATGGGACTTGCGAGGTTGCTTAGCTTGCACACATACTTGGCACTTGGAGCCTTTGACAGTAGAGATTTTCGGAATTAAATTCATATTGGCTAACCGCATCATGCAACCAAAGTTAATATGACAGAGTCGTGAATGCCAAATATCAGACTCATTATTGTGGCAAACATTATTAATAACTTTAGTGCAAATATCTGACAAAGATAGGCGGAAAAAGCCTCCCCACTCATAGCCTTTTCCAACAAATTGTCCACACTTAGAAATTACAACTTTATTGGATTCGAAAACCAACTAAAACCATCTCGACATAAACGGGAACCGCTAACGAGATTTTTATTGATGGACGGCACATGATGAACGTTCTTCAGACGCACAGTCTTCCCCGAAGTAAACTTTAGATCGACCATACCAACACCTCGAACGATGGCATGTGACCCGTTCCCCATCAGCACGGGTGAAGTCCCTGTTGCCTGGTAAGAAGAAAACATGGAGGCGTCAGCACAAACATGTACATTGGCACCGGTGTCAATTAACCAATCAGGGGATTGAAATACTGAAAGGATGGTAGGAAAAATACCGTATCCTAATTCCTTCATATCAGTATCACCGATGACAACATTAGCGGACTTGCCGCTCTTCTCATGTTCGCGCTCCTCAAAGCGGTTAGGACACTTCGGAGCCCAGTGATTAGGATCACCGCAGACATGGCAACGTCCCTTCTCCTTCTTATGAGAATTCTTCTTGAAGTTGATAGACTGTGATGGCTTGTTCTTTGTATCAAACTTGCCTTTGCCCTGAGTTTTGTTATTATTGTTTTTGAACTTGTTGGGCTGGGAGTTCTTCTTCCGTACCATGTGGGCACTAGAACTTAAAGGCAGGCGGCTTCAGATGCGCAGCAAAACCACTCAGAGTAAATTGCCTATAATCAGACTTTTGGATTGTTGGAAATATGAGCAAATTACTACGAGATTTAATCCGAATAAACAGAAGATAAATCATGACCACAGCAGCAGAGATTAAACTAATCATGCGAACTAGCATAGCAGATGAACATATCACATCTAGGGCACATACTAGAAGCATGAATTCTACCACGAGCTCGAACAGGAAGGATAGAATCACATACAGTGCAGCGGGTGCAGCACCGCCGGCGTTGACGTTGTCGCCCATGTCATCGAGGACGAGGTTGCCGAGGTCGGGGAAGAAGTCGTCGTTCGCGAAGTCGTCGCTGCCAGCAGTCGTGCGAGTGCGCTCCGCAAAAACCTGATCGCCCCTCTCCCGTACAGGATCACGAGAGGCGGGGTTCCGGAGGCCTGCTGTCCCTTCTCGCGGTGCACGCCGGAAGGAGGGATGAGAAGACTTGCTTGGCGGCGCAATGATCTGAAACGGTGGTGAGAAACCATACGAAGCGGCGGCGGCTAGGGTAGACGTCTGCCTGACTATATAGTGCGGGCCGGGTAGGTCGTGGGAGTAAACCCCACGTCCGAGTCGTCACAATCCAAAAGAATCGGAAACGATTCAGTAATTAACGCGTCCGTTAATTATTAATCAATGACTCATTAATTTTCCCATGCAGCAAAAATATAGACAACGTGCATAGCTCTGTCCTCGGCTCGGCTCAATCCCGCAACCCGCGGCGCGGCGCGGCGCGTCGTGACGAGGCGTGGCGTGGCGTGGCGTGGCGAGGCGAGCGAGGAGGAGGAGCGCGCGTGTAGGTCTCCTCTTCTCATGCTCATACAAATGGTAGAAGAGCTCACCTTATAAAGAGGTGCAACTCTCTCTTAACTTCCGGGGTGGGACTAAACTTTAGCCTCACTCACTCCACTCACATGTGTGCATGAATGGGCCAAGAGAATTTCAGAATTTTAGTTGGGCTTTGGGCCAAAGGCCTACTAGCAAAATTCCAACACTACGGGGTCCCCCATGTCTCCGCCCCTGGATGTAGGAACAAATCTGGGTCGGGCCTCACTGGTGTTTCGCCGTGACTGATCTGAGAGTGCAACCCCTTCCTGTTGCATCTTGAGGGTAAAATGTGAGAAGAAGGATGGCGGCGGCTGGGCGAAGACGAGGCATCCTGTCATGGCTGGGGATTTCGGCGGCGGCATCGCAACTAAGAATCCCAGACGACAGACGAGAGAGAGACGAGAGGTCAGGGAGTGGAGGTGAGGGGAGAAACGCTCTCCTGCATATGTGGTGGGAGCACTTGGCCCAGCAGGCCCAAACAACAGCAGATCGCTGATTTTGTTGCGGGAGCATTGGCCCAGTCCGTTTAGCGCTCTCAATGGGGTGGAAGGTGCATCCAACGGCCCAAAACACCTAGAAGTGCAGATTTAACGGTTGAGATGCTAATAGCCTGAGAGGGCTGGAAAAGTGCTCGGTTGTAATGTCTTTAAATGTTTCGATGGCTGGCTTTCGTATCACTGTCCACGGATATGTCTGTGTCCATGGATCAGCGATGAGATGCGCTAACTCTAGCACTTTCGTTGAACGTTTGACATGTAGGGTGGTGTTCATCACTCTTAACTTCCCACCACCGACTAATATTTCAAATTAGTTGTTTTAAATTTGTCTAGATACAAATGTATTTAGAGCTATATACATCCATATCTAGATAAATCTCAACATGTAATTCGGGACTGGGGGAGTATTTTTTAATGTCAAAGTATTTTTTTCTATTATGCAAGGGATATACAATGATTGCATCCACCGTCTATCATTGTTTTGAAATTCATGCCATGGCTTTTTTTGGCACCTTTTCTGTATTATATAATTTTTTGTTGCTGTTTTTATTTTTAAGTCTAATGTAATGCTTCATTGTGTACCAGAAAATGCACCCCAAAACAAGCGCACACTTGTTTGTAGGTACACGGGTATATTACGATACAATTTGAAATGAGAAAAAAGATCCGATGAATGAAGTTTAACACTATGAAACAACACAAAATTATCACAAACCGAAAAATTATCTGGATTAGGTTCCATCTCCACCAGGGACGGTGGCGGCATGTCCGGATCGGTTCACGGCGGCGCGGCCGGATTGCTGGTCGGCCGTCGGTACGGTGGTGGGTGCGACTCGTCGGCAGTTGGGCAGATCCGCGGGATTCTACCCTTGTCTGGCCCTTGACAGCGCGGGCAACTACGGGGGAAACCCTAGATCTCCTTGGGATCGAGCGATGGCGGAGCTTTTGCGTCGTAGTCCCTCTTTAGGGCATTGTTTTGGAGTTTGCTCCGGTCGAAGGGACCAGCGACGTCGGCGGCGCACGTCTGGTGGAGCAACTGCCGATGAAAATCGCGCCGAGTATGGTCAAGGCGGACGATTGCGGCGTCTTAGATGTCGTTTCCTTGTCGAGGCATCGTCGTTGCAGTCTGCGTCATCAGGCTCGGGATGCTCCGGCGGAAACCCTAGATCTGGGTCTTTTGGATCGGACGATGATTATTTCCCTCCTGGGGGCATCGTTTGGAGTAAGTGCTGGCTGGGCGGTTGGTGGACCGGTACTTCATCTCACACATCGATGGTGGCGGATATCGGCGGCATGGCGCTATGGAGGCTCGGCGTCCGATGCACGGAGATGGACTCGCGTAGGAGGAGGTTGCTGTCTGGCGTCATGGTGACGTTGATGGCAGAGTGGCCATACAAGGTAGAAGCCTCAATATGTTCTGAAGACGGACCTGTGGAAGATGGCGGCGACGACACACGAGTGCGTCTGACCGGATTGTGCCCCAGACCCGGTATGTGGCTCGGCGGGTGCTTCCGGATATGTTTCGGCTTTCGGCTTTTGATATTAGACTTAGGTGAGTGGTTTGGATAGTGGCCCAGCTAGCACCCCTTCATCTTTTTGGATAGGAGTAGCGATATGTATTGCCAAGATGGTGGATTTAGGCACATTGTTGTAATACTTTGTAAGGTCCTCGAAAATAATCAATAAAGTGGCCGTATGCATCTCCCAGATGCAGAGGCCGGGGTCATCCTACTTTTCTAAAAAAAAGTTCCATCTCTCTAACTACATGAGCTAATAGCAGTTTATATATAGTTGTTACATGCATACCCCTGATCTTAAGATATTTCTGGTCATCCCACCTGAACGAATAGTATCTGCATGCTCTTGGAATCCTCTTACAAGCAGTCCAAAACCATCTTTGTCAAGCTGTGACAATTTTTCAATGTGTCTTTTCTTCTTTCTTTTCTCATAATGCAATTCTTATTTTTAAGTGCCTTTTCTTGTTTCTATTGACATAAAATATAATATCTTATGTCCATAATAATTGCGCAGGTACACATTCTTTATTCACTAGAACACTCAAGTGCTCGCTACTATACGGTTATACCCCTGACTTTGGGATATTTCTGGTAACCTCATCTGAACGAATAGTACCTGCTCTTGGAATTCTCTTACAAGCAGTCCATGTCCATCATTGTCAAGCTGTGACGCCGTAAGTTCCTTAATGTGCAAGTATTTTTCCTGTTTTTGAAGTGTCTTTTCTGGTTTCTATTGACAGAAATTATGATATCTTATGCCGATCATGGAGTGCTTGAGGTCCATAATAATTGAGAAGTACTCATTCTGTATTCACTAGAACACTCAAGTGATTCAACTCAACAACAAAAAAACACTCAAAGTGATTGTCCGAAAAAATAACTCAAGTACAAATGCGCCCTCCCCAAAAATAGACAGCGGAGGCTTTCACAATGAACGAGCACATATGGACATATGGGGAAAATATTCCCTTCTGTTTCCTCCCATATTTGGTGGAACAGAAGCAGAGAAACCGTCTAAAAACTTTTAACTGCTTAGTCGAACAAGTAGCTCCATGGCGGTGTCTCGACGCCACCGAGCTCAAAGTCTTCCCGCCACGGTCTGGTGTCCGGCGACTCCATGAACTCCGAGTAGCACGATCCGGCATCCATGCCGCCAAACCAGTGCTCATTCAACAGCTCGCTGGACATGGACAGGGCGCTCGGTGCCGGCAAGCCATCGATTTCCTTCTCGTCATCGGTTGTCCGCGCAGGGGACAATGGTGCCATGGACGCGACCGGGTGCTGCCTTTGGAACGCCAGGACGGCGACGGCGACGGCATCCTTGATCTCCTTGGCCGTGCTGAACGGGCCGGCGAGGACGGGGAGCATCCGCCAGGCGGAGTCGGCGAAGTTGAGGCAAGCGGCGCGGCCGGAGAGCGCGAGAACGGCGGCGTCGTGCGCGCGCGCTGCCATCTCGGCGGTGGTGAAGGTGCCGAGCCAAAGCCTGGAGCCCCTCATCCCGAGCACGCGCACCTCGCACACCCACCGGCCGGCGGGGCCCCGTCGCCGCACGCCGCGGTACAGCGGGTGGCGCGTCTCCTTGAACTTGGTCCGGCCGGCCGGCCGCTTCGGCGGTTCCGACCACACCGTCCTGTGCCCATCACACGGGGAGGCGGCATCAGCGGCGTCCATCGATCGATCGCAGTGTCGCCGGGAGCCTGCCGACTGTGGGGTAATTAAGCAGCGAGTTTAGCTGCTGCGTTGAGAGATTTGAGAGAGATGGATGCTGGAGAGGAGGAGCGGTGAGGCTTGGTTGGATGAGGAAACGGCGGAGTATATATATAGCTGAGTAGTGGTTGCTCGCCGTAGCGCGGAAGGGGATTAGCGCGGGGAGTGGTGGGGTCACGCGCTCAGTGACATTAGCTTCAACGCCTACGTGGAGCAATATCTGGCCACATAATCTGCACCACATGCAAGGACAAGCATACTAGCAAGCACTAGATCTTTTTCTTTTCTTCCGTCGAACAAGTATCTTAGTTGAGGCGACACTTCACACCCAAGCATCTTTTGTGGCGAAAATTAATGAATAAAATAAACATCTTGGCATATCTTTCGGGGCCCTGTTGGAGGCCCAGAGGGCGACGTAACTGAGAGCGCAGCGCCTGCTTCCTCACACTCACACTCACACTCACACTCACCCACTGTCGACTGAGTGAGCAAATGACAAGGACAGCTCGCTTATATCGGCAAGGATTTTTGTGACATGAAATCGGGAAAAGATCCAGGGCTGCGGTAGTTCAAAGCTTCTGGATTAGTCTACTTGACCACCGCCTTTTAGACCAAGCAACGGAAGGTATACCTGTTAGTCTCACCACACGTCAAAGACTACGCCTGTTTTTGGAAACATTTTTGCGAGTCATCTTTTTTTTTTTTTGCGAATGAAATTATTTGCGAGTCATCAACAACCCGTTATTTTGGGAAACGTTTCAGGCCGGGGCACCGGCCGAACCTTCGGCCGGTCGCGAGCCACGCTGGCGCCCCATGCTCGCCCAAGACGCGCCCCGCGCGAGACTCCTGTTTATTGTTGGGCCCCACGTGGACCACCCCTCCTCCCTTATCTTTCCCCTAACTGCTGCCTTCATCTCTTACCTCCAGACACATCGTTTCCCATGGCCATATTTCTTCTTCCTTTTCCCCGCGCTGCTGCCTACCGGCTGCCGCTGCCAGCCGTGTGCTTCGCCGAGCCAGGGGGACTACCCGACTGCTGCCAGTCCTGCTCCTCCACACATCTTCTCCCCCAAAACATCTCTCTCCTTCTGTCTCAAATAAGCCATGGTTCAAGACGAGGCAAGGTCTGGGAAGGAGGCTGCAACCGGTGCCCGGGGAGGCTGCGACCGACCATGAGGCGACGAGCATGACCTCAGGATGGCGAGGATGGGGCGACGCTCCTCCGAGAAAACAATCAACGTCGTTATTTTTGCTACATGCTTCAACCGACGTCGGAATTTGCTACAAACGGCATCGCATACTGCTGCCACCGGTGTCACGTTTTGCTGCAATGCACAATCAACCTCGCTTTTTTGCTACAATCGATGTCGCTTTTTGCTACAACCATTTTTTGTTTTTTGCTGCATATGTTCAGGCTGAGTTGCGACCCGATGATGGCGGCAATGACTTTTTTGCTGCAACCGTAATAGATTTTTGGTACATCCAGCAACAATTTTTGCTACATCCATTCTTTTTTCGCCGGCAACGATACAATGGCGAGATACAACCGCCGGCGGCAATGACAAGTTTTTTTTGCCAAAAAGCTACAACGGGCATCGTCAAAAGCTGGAACCGGCCATCAGCGGAGCTGCATCTAGTGTGGTGGTGCCCCGGCAGCCATGTCGGGCACCTCTCGCGGAGCTCGACGGCCATGGCCATGGCAACAGCCCCTCGCAGAGCTTGACGGCCATGGCCATGGCAGCACCCCTCGCAGAGCTCCATGCCGATGGCCATGGCGGCACCCGTCCCGGAGCTCGACGCCCATGGCTATGGCAGCATCCCTCGCAGAGCTCGACTCCCGTGGCCATGGCGTGCCCTAGCAGCCACGGCGGTATCCCTCGAGCGGAGCTCGACGAACATGGCCATCGTGTCCATCTCCAGGCCGGGAATCATGCACCTCGCCGGTCACAGAGGGGCGCGTGTTCAGCGCGAGGAAGGAGACGAGTTTGGGGGAGAATCAGACGGTTACAGGAGCGCAGATCGTACGGCTACCGAGCGACCGGCCGAACTTTCGGCCGGCGCACCGGCGCCTATCGTTGCCCTTATTTTTAGCCAACTATGATGTTTGTTGGGGTGTATTTTTCAAGTCAATAAACTATCTATGTTTCAAAATACTTCGCATATAAGGAATTACTAACTCCACCCTCAACCTAAAATAAGTGTCTCAATTTTAATATAACTTTTTTATTAATACACGACAAAGTTAACTTCCAAATGTGTTCCAAATCTAGGGCTATAACACAATTACTTGGTGGTCCTTGGATTGTGATCACGCACCCGTCCCGCTTGCCCACGTTCTCAAATTCCCATTAGTTTTCTTTCATGTACTTTTCTCAAGTTGCGTTTCTCAAATTCCCATTAGTTTTCTTTCATGTACTTTTCTCAAGTTGCGTTACTCCCAGCACGCTCTGTTCCCACACTGATTTTGTTTCTTTTTTTTTCATAGATTCCTTTGCGGATTGTTATGGGAATCCAGTTTTATCACGTAGATCCACCAAAAACTTATTCTCAGAAGGTGAAAAATTATGTATTTGCATAGGATTCCAACCCAGCACTCCATAGAAGTCAGTTGGCCCAATAACCAACTCATCATATTTAGTAAAGAGAACTCTTCAGGTTTTTTCTCATGGGGGTTCTCTTGTGTTCAACTTCATGTTGAGAAAGTAAAGCATCCCAAAGACGGTCCGACGGTGGTGAGGGTGTTGCTGGTGGATCTACGGTCCTGTATAGGAGATGCAGTCTGAGAGGTAGCGTATGTTTGCAAAGTGTAGGTGGCGGGGCATCTCGAGGTGGAACCCGACTACATCTTCGTAGTACTTCATGCGAGAGGGGACGGCGAAGGGAGACTGCATGTAGTTATCAACTGATCAATTATGTACTTATCAAAGTAAACATGTTATAATTATCAACATGGTTACTATTTAGTTACCGGGCTGCATATCCTATATTTACCAAAACATGATTATTATTTACTTACTGACCTGCAAATGCTACAGCTACCACGCCTACGATTAGCCCTCTAGGATTTTGTTTTGCTCTTGAGACTTTGTTGGTCATTTTAAAATGTTGCAATATTTAATTGAATGATGTGTGCAACGATCCATGCCAAGGCCGGGGGTCCAACCATCTTTACCGGTGGGTCCAGCGGGTTGTTGTGTCAATTTGGTTGTGATTGGGATAATGAAGCGAGGTTTTGGTTATACACCAGACTCTAAAAGTTTCAGTGTTATGCTATGAGGTTTTTTATTGCACCCAATCCAAATCTCATGTTTTTGCATAATTAACGTTTGAATTTACGATTTTTTTTTAATTTTGGTGTTTTTCTTTTGCGAAAAGTATACAACATATGTATCATTAGTATAAATTCACTATAGATGTAGGGGCTGTATCTCGAAACACAAAGGTGCATGCCCAAGCGCATGCTTCCTGGTGCGAAAATGTTGGTATGTCTCCTGAATATATTTTGAGAATCTGAAATCTGAGCCTACTCTCAGGTAGGATATCATTTTGTTGGATATATGTTTTCCTTCAAAATTATCTTAGGGAGCCTCATTTGGTTAAATTTCAACGGACAACAGCAATTTCAGGAGGAGGGTGGGGATTACGTCGCCATTTTTGCACTCGTGCGATACAGACACTTTTTTTGGAAGAGCATGACTACGTGACATGGCACTCATTTTTTTTAGCGAGGCGCGACATGGCACTCTTGGCCGACTTGGACGCCTGAGTTTGAGTTGATGGCGAATTCCGGTTGATGGTAGGATGCCGTGTGGTGCGACCAACCTCCAACGTGGACAAGGCAGATCGACCACGCGTAACTCCATCCATACCTTTTGTTTGGCTAGCAATGCTTTGAGAAAGGCACAAGCAAACGTCATGCTATAGTAGCACACTGGTCACTGCCATCACAGAAATATCTAAACTAAGGTGACATGTCACAACGCATCTTGGCCATACAGTTTAGGAGGAAGGCGAGAGCTTGGCCCTGTATGATCACGGTCCAGCACTCGATCGAGATTGTGGCTGAACGTTTGCGTGCCCCCTCCCTCGCAAATAATGCGACATCTCGCGTGGCTGCTCGCGTTTTCTTTTATTTTTCTTTTGAACTGGGCGTGGCTGCGTAAGTTATTTTTAAGAGCAGCACTGAAGCATGCACAGTAACGGTGAAAGGACAAAGCAAGCCTTGGCAGATGGGCCTGTACACGTCGACAGCGACGGGCTCTGGCTCCGCAAAGGTTATATCTCGCTTATAGCGAGCTCGATGGAAAACTCTCCTGAAGCATTGAACATATAAACCCTCAAGAAGTCATAGGCAGGACGAGGCCATCCACGTCGCCTTGAAATCGCTCGTGCCACCGCCTGTAAATTCCGTGCCCCGTCAAGGGCATTTTAGTCATTTCACGCGCAGCATATAAAACTCAACCCACCCGTGGACAAACCCTAGCCGTCGCCCGCTCGCGCACTCTCCTCCCCCTCCTGCCTCTTCTCTTCCCCGCCTCCTCCTCATGTCGCCGCCTCCGCTCCCGCACTCTCCTCCCCCTCCTGCCTCTTCTCTTACCCGCCTCCTCCTCCTGTCGCCGCCGCCGCCTCCGCTCCTGCTGTCGCCGCCTCGCCGCCCCAAACCCCTGCCGCAGCGGAGAGAAATCCATGTCGGTGGACAAGCCCGGCGGCGGCGGGGTCTCCTCCTCTCCTTCTCTGTGCTGGGGCGGGCAGGGCGCGGACAAGGATAAGGGGTTGCAGGAGGTGAAGAACAGCTACGCCTCGGTGGACGAGTACCTAGGCGTCTTCGAGCCGCTGCTCTTCGAGGAGGGCAAACCGCAGATCCTCCAGGGTCGCAGAAACGAGGACGAGGGGGAGGAGGAGGATGGTGGGCTTTGCTACACTTGCCGCTTGTGTGGATTTCTCGATTTCCGCCTCTTGGTTTA